GGAAACTGAATTCATGATGTCATGCTTGCCAGGCAGATGCTTATGCTGCTGAGCTATATCCCCGGCCCTTTTTTGGCTTTTTGAGACAGGGTTTCACTATGCAGTTCAGGCTCTGGAGTGCCGGGATCACAGGCCTGTGCCACCATGCCCGGGGCCCTTTTTCTTTTTTTAGACAGGGTTTCACTAAATTGCTAAATTGCCCAGGCTGAGTTTGTTTTTTGTTTTTTTTTTTCTGGTACCCAGAATCGAACTTAGGACCTTGGGCTTGCAAGGCAGGCGCTGTACCGCTGACCTAAATCCCCAGCCCCCGAGGCTGAGTTTGAATTTACAATCCTCCCTCCTCAACCTCCAAGAGTGCTGGCTTGGCCTTGAATTTGTGTCCCTCCTGTTTGAGCCTCCTAAGTAGCTGGGATTACAGGCATGAGTCACCAGGCACACCCGGCCTCACTGTAGCTCCTTTGTTCCCTTACAATGCGGGACTGAGGCCACACCCTTTTGCTGCTTAGGATCTCCTACCGCGCTGCAGCCAGTGCTGCAGCTTTCCCAGAGCACAAGCCCTAAAATCTGCGCAGTGTCCTGCCCAAGCAGAAATGTTTGCTCAAGACCATCTCAGCCGCTGGGGGTTCCGCACGTATCTGTAGTGCCCGCGGGTGCCATGCTGTTGGAGAGGCTGATGGCAGCTCAGTAAAGGGGCAGTCACTGCCTGTCCCATCTGGACACTGCTCCCCAGATAGGGCCGAGGTCCTGAAACCAGCGCTGATCTCAGCCTAAGTTCCTTGTGAGGCTGCTCTCCTCCACAGCCACAGTGCATTTCTTCATGATCAATTAAACGAAGCTTTCAAAAGTTGCCAGGCATATTCTTAGGAAGCACCTGCCATGGAGCTGGGGCTCTTGGCTTTCAGTCTCTGGAGCGGAACTCCTTTTTCCTGGACCACAAGGAACTCATGAATGGCTCCTTCTGTGGCCTGAAGATGTGGTTAACTTTTGTTTTTGTTTTGTTTTATTTTTGTCTTTTTTGAGACAAGGTCTCCCTACGCAGTTCAGGCTGGCCTTGAGCTTACTTGGTAGCCCAGGCTGGTCTGGAACTTGCAATGATCCTCCTGACTCAGCCTCCCGAGTGCTGGGATTACAGCCGTGTACCACCACACCAGGTGATGTGGTTAATTTTGGATGCACCACATGAGAAATGATCCTGTGTGCTCTTGCTTCCAACATCTCTGACTGAACTAGTCTCTGCCTCAGACTAATTCACAATTTGTGTGTGTATGTGTACATGTGTGTACATGTGTGTGGAGTGTATGCATGTGTATGTGGGGGGGCTCATATGCGGTGGTGCATGAGTGTATGCATGTTGGGGTATATGTGGGTATGTGTATATGTGTGGGTGTGGGTGCATGTGGGTGTGTGCATGGGTTGTGTGGGTGTATGTATGTGGAGATGTGTGTATGTGTAGTACATGTGTGGGTGTGTGGGTGTGGAGGTGTGTGGGTGTGGAGATGTGTGGGTACATGAATGTGGGTGTATTGTGCGGGGCTGTATGTGTGGGTGGGTGTGTGGCTGTGGGCATGTGTGGGTGTGTGGGTGTATTGTGTGCAGGGGGTGTGGTGTGTACATAGAGGGTGTGTGTGTGTATGTGAGTGTACTGTGAGGGATGTGGATGTGTGTGTGTGTATGTGTGTGGGTGTATTGTTTGGGGGTGTACTGCATGGGTGTTCTGTGTGTGACTGTGGGGGTACATGTGTGCGTATATGTGTGCGGGGGTGTATGTGTGGTACCAGGGGTTGAACCCAGAGTCTGCACTGAGCTACATCTCTAGCTCCCACACTTCCACACATTTTCCCCCAACTTTATGAGACAAGCCTCGCTCTGTGTTCCAGGATGGCCTTGAACTCTCTATGCAGCCAAAGCTGGCTGCAACCTCGCCATCTCCCGGCCTCAGACTCTCAGAGCACTGGGATTACAGGTGTGCACCACCAGACCCAGCTTGATCTTTTTCTTTTTTTTTTTTTTGTACTGGGAATGAAACTCAGGACTGTGTTTGCCCGGCAGGCACTGTGCCGCTGAGCTATATCCCTGGCCCTTGAGACAGGATTTTATGAAACTAAAACTAAATCCATTAAACAACTCCCTATTCATACTCCCCCGTCCCAATCAACAATACATTCCACTACTCTTACTCCTGAATACATGACACAGTGGGTGATCAAAATATATAACGAATATTTAAAATTTTAAAATATTGACCAGGCATGGTGGTGCACATCTGTAATTCCAGCACTTGGGAGACTGAGGCAGGAGGACTGTCTGCTTCAAAGCCAGCCTGGGCTACATAGTGAACTCAAGGCCAACCTGAATTACAAAGCAAGATCCTTTGTCTAAAAACCAAAAAACAAAAACAAAAGTACATTAAAAGACACATTACCATTAATCCACCTCAAAGCACTCCCCCCCTTTGAACACACTAATCCCATTATTTCTGCCACTTTCTGAAGTAGTTCTGGAAGTCCTCTTTTGTGTCAGGTATAATAAAAAACAAATAAGCAGTGAATGCTGTCAAGCACACCCAGCAGAAATGGGCAGGCTCACACAGGCATTTGGTGCTGCGGCCCCATCCACCGTCTTCACTGGACCTGGCACGGTATCACGTCCATCTCTTCCCAAAGTCAAAATGACCATGAAAAGCAAGCGTTCTGGATTGATTCGGGACACTGAGGTGGCCACGGTGGCACAGCTAAAGGCACTGACAGGTGCAGGGGGCACACACCTATAACATCAGCACTTGGGAGGCTAAGGCAGAATGATACACTCGAGTTCAAGGTCAGTCTGCACTACATAGCAAGACCCCGTCTCAAAAGACAAAACAAAACAGAAAAGTAAAGCCACTGCCGCAGGCTGTGATGGTGCATGCCTGTGATCCCAGCACTCCAGAGGCTGAGGCAGGAGGATTGCTATGAGTTTGAGGCCAGCCTGGGCCACAAAGTGAGTTCAAGGCCAGCCTGAACTGCATAGTGAAACCTTGTCTCAAACAGGCAAGTAAAATAAAATAAAATAAAAGTACAGAAAAGGGGACTTCCAAACTCCTTTAGAAAGTGGCAAAGAATGATGGGGTATGTGTGCTCAACGTGAGGGTATTTTGAGGGAGATTAATAGCAATGTGTCTTTTATTGTGTTTGTTTTTTTTGTTTGTTTTTTTAAATTTAAACAGTCACTAGCCAGGCTGAGGAAGGAGGATAACAAAGAAGAAAGGAACCCAGCCTGGGTAACTTAGAGACTTAGTAAGTCCCTGTCTCAAAAAGAGGGGCGGGGTGTAGCTCAGTGTGAAGGCCCTGTGTTCGGTCACCACTACCACCAAATAAATGAATAAAGGCCCTACGAATAAACAATAAGACCCTGCCTAAAAAAAAAGGAAAGAAACTGTATTGTTCAATCACACCGCGTAAGTGGAATTATACAGTACGTGAGTATTTGTCCTTTTGTGACTTGGCTTATTTCACTCAGCATAATGTTTTCCATTTTCATCTGTGAGGTCATATGTTTCACAACTTCGTTAAGTAAGAGCTTCTCTCCTTGAGTAACACACATCGTAAGTGTATACCACCTTTTGCTGACTATTCATTTCTCCACAGTCACCTGGGTTCTTTCCACCTGCCAGCTATTGTTGAGACAATGTTGTTATGAACATCAGTATACAAACATATGGTAAGGTGCTTATGGGACACAGTAGACGAAAGTATCCTCAGCTACCCAAGAGTGTCAGGGAGCTGGGTAGGTATTGTTCTTATTTCTCACAGACGCTGATTCAAATGTCCTGTTTCCTGTCTCTAATAGCTTTTACTGGAGGGTCATACATGGCTCCTGCTGAACTAAGATTACCTTCCTGCCTGAACTCCTTAAGAGACCTTAACCTCCACTCCTGGGGGTGGCCGCCTTGCTTACTCCTTTCCTCTCAGGAATCCGAGATTCAGGCCAGTCTGAGAACCGCTGCTAGCGACTCCAGGAGGCTCTTACCGGGTTTCAGAGCCGTAGTTTCTCTGTCCTTTCCTCTACACCTCCTCTGCTGTCTGGAGCCAGTGACACGCGCGCGCAGCAAGGGCTTAGGCTCTCCTGCCCACCCCGTGCCGGCCCACACCGGTAATCTCTGGCTATGACAATCCCAGGCCCCCGCCACTCTCAGGGGTTCCTCTCTCCCTGGCATGTATTGGGCTTACCTAGTAAGACCCTGCCTGAGGAAGAAAAAGGAGAAACTGTTGCGTTTCATTGTCCCCACGTTTCAGACTTAACCTAGCTGCAGATCGTTACAGGGCTTTCCCAAACGCACTGCCGGGCTTTGGATTTCTAGGCAATTCCACCCCAGCCCTCCCGGCTCACCTATTTGCTCGCCGCCTTCGATCCAGTTTGGAAACGCGTAGATATGGAGCCCCTGGGCGTGGGAACCCCCCAAACACTCAAAGCCTGCGGGCCGGCGCCCCCCACCCCCCTCCCGCCCTGCCCCGACTCTGAACCTCCCGGGCGGCCGCCCCCAGGCTTAACCCAGGGTGAGGTCAGAAACGCATCTCCATTGTAACGCGGCGGGGCGGACGGGGATGCGTCATCAGCCAGGCCACCGCCCTCTCCCGACCTCTCCCGAGCCCCGCGGGGCGCCGGACCGAGCCGGGCAGAGCCGGTGCCCGCGCCCAGGACACACGCGGGGGTGGGGGGAACAGGGGCGGGACACCGGGGACCTTCTGTACCTAATAACCACTTGTTTACGAACCGCCTGTCCTGTAAAAACATAGCCCCTCTATCGCAGATTTTCCATCCATATAAGGTTTGTTGTTTTGTTACGGCTTGGTTTTTTGAGACAGGGAATCGCTGTGTAGTTCAGGCTGGTCCTAAAGTCACTATGTCGCCCAGGCTGGTCTCGTACTCGTCGGGATCCAACTGTCGCAGCCTCCCAAGAGCGGGGGTTACAGACGTGCGCCATCACGCACGGCCCGTCTGTGTAAGGTTATAACGATCGTGTTTTTAAACACTACAAGGCACTTTCCCTTTTAAGTCTGGTTCCCTTTACTCCCGAGAAGGGAAAAACCCCCGAAGCCGCGCATTCCTTAGGCAGCGCCGTCCCGCGGCCTCCGTCGCTCCCGCTCGGGCCAGACCAGG